CCAGGTTACTGTATTACGACTTCAACCTTGAGTACTACAAAGGGTCCAAGAATTGCATAGTTGATGCCTTGTCGAGGCTTCTGGTGTAAAATGATAATTCTACTACCTCAGAGGAGGAGATTGTCTCCCTTGTGACCACTGTAGTTGATAAGCAAACTGGTCAGGCAGCTACTGCTTCCGATTAAACATTGCAATGGGTCATCAACTGTGTGACTCAAAAATGGCCCCAGAAAAAAAAAAAAAAACTTGACACGGCACTAATGTCATACTTCTATGTACACGTAGAGTTTTCTTTCATTGACAGACCTTTATTGCGGGGTGAACATGTCGTTATTCCAAATATACTAATACGGACCTTTTTGCAATTGGTACATGAGCCCCATCAGGGTATTGTTCGCATTAAGCAGCTACTACGCGAGCGCTATTGGTGGCCCCACATGGATAAATGTGTGGAGGAGTTTATCAGGCAATGCCACATCTGTCAGCTTGCAGATAAATTCGCTAAAACTGCAGTGCCTCCCTTTCAGCCAGTACAATGGCTCGAACAGCCGTGGCAGCAACTGGGTATGGACATTATCAGTCCTCTGCGTACAGGTCCTAATCCTACTTATGCCACCCCTTAATGGACTACTGTTCTAAATGGCCTGAAGTTCTTTTTACCAATTCAGTCACAATGCGGGACGTCATAAAGCTACTCAGTACTGCTTTCAGCCGTGATGGTCTGCCAGATACCCTAGTTACAGATAATTGACCCCAGTTTACGTGCAGAGAATTTGAGGACTTCTTAAAGGAAAGAGGCTTCTATTTCAACTATTTCTCGCAGGCAAACGGGCTAATAGAGAGATTCAACCGTGTTCTCAAAGAACACATTCAAGTGGCTAAGCTGCAAGGGAAGGATGTTATTCAAAGCACTACAGAGTTCTTAGGACCTTACAGGATCACACCTCATGCCACCACTGGTTGTTCACCAGCTGTTCTAATTCACGGCCGCCAACTGCGATCAACATTAGACATCAGTAAGCATAAGCTTCCAGTATTGCAACATGCCTCTCCTTCTGCACTTCGCAAGAAGGTTCAGCAAAAGCAGGAAAAAACAAAATCCTATGTAGATAGGTGCAAAGATGCTAAACGAACTCTCATTAAAGTAGGCGACAAGGTGAAAGTTAGGCTAAAATTGAAAGGTCTCTTCAGGTTCAGCCAATCTCTTACCATCCTGCAACAAGTTAATCCATCCACATTCCTTTTAAGCGATGGAAAAAAGTGGAATGCATCAAAGTTAACAATCATCCCACATGTGACTGCAGCATCTCTTCCAGTAACGCCTCAGTCTGCATTTATCTCTGACGTACATTTCCTCTTTAATCACGATGACTTGAGCAATTTAGCCTCTCCCTCCAATACAGAGGTCTTTCCTCAACACTCCATTCCTAGTGTCCCGGCTGTCCAGCCCAGCTCTGCACCGGCTATCACCCAGCGCGACTCCGTCCCACCTGACGTGCACCTTCCAGTACCTGTGACCCAGGACCATTTGTCGGGCCTTCAGGAGAGAAGGCCTGGGTATTCCTCACCCACTGTCGATGCTCCAAATTCTAATATGGGAGTGGGAGATTTGGGGAATGGGTATTCAAAGTGTGCTCTCAACAGCAGCAATCTGCCAAGTTCTTCTGGGAGAAATGGGGACGGGTTTTCGAAGTCTGCTCCTGACAGCCGCGTTTCTCAAAGTCATCCTGCAGGGCCAGGGTTGCGGCATCCACAAAAAACATGCAAGCCCCCCGCCTACTTGAAGGACAATGTCATGGACTAAAGTAGTCAACTGTCTGCAGTATAGCTGCAGAAGACCTGTAGTATAGCTGCAAGTTGGCACTTATGTTATGTGTCGGCAAAGCGTATCTTATTTCCATTACTCTGGGTTGTTTGTTCCTAGGACCATGTTTTATTAAATAAGGCTTGATTCTCTATGTTTAGTCCCCGCACTTGAGAGGTGCAAAGCACCACTAGTAGTTATGCAAGCGCCTTGAGGGCCTTTTTTTTTATATTGTATAAAGATGCAACTTTCCCAGGGGGAGATGATGTGTCGCACGACCCCTGGTGTCACGGTAGCAAACCGGTGGGTTAGAGTTCCTGTAAATGCCCCTAGGTGGAGCTAGGCCCTTACCAGGTCTGTTCTCTGCAACCAACTCAGTGTGTACCTGCCGTCATGTGACCAGTGTATCAGTGACCAATCACTGTCTTCCCTATCCTTAAAAAACCGCTGCAATAAACACGGAAGAGCATTCTCTTGTCATCCAAGCCTAAGATTGGTGGAAATGAAATGCTAGTGACGGACAGAATATTTCTAAACTATCTGTAGACCTGGTGAAACTGGCATTTCTGCTGCCTCTTATGAGAGATTCTATGCGAGCTTCTCTTGCTCTAACACAACATCACAGTGCAGAAAGGGGGTCAATCAGCCTTGCTACCACCACAAAGAAAGAGGGGACTGCTCCGCTTCGGTGGACACTCCCTTTTGACCTCCTTTGTCACTTTTATAACACCATTTTGCTTTCATGTCATCAGACTTCACAGAGTTAAACATCACCGAAATTTTTTGCGTAGAAGGTTTTAGTAAAATCACAAAAAGTCTGTGACCAGGAGAAAACCTAGCCATGTAGTTGTCACAGCAGCTGTCACAGCTTTGCACCACCTGACCCCGCTAGCATGTTGTCACGCCAAGCTACACATGCACCGAAGCCAAGCTGCCGCCAAGCCGATGGAGGAGCTGCCGCACCTCACTACTGCGACATCTGGTGTGATGTCACGATGAGTCATGCAGTAGCTGGGTAGAGATCATGCCAAGTTGAAATTAGGTGTCGCTGAGCAACTTCTTTTGTCATGAAATACACTATAGAGTTACTGTGAATCTGAATCGCTATGAAGGAGTCGCGCCTTGTCATGCCGAGGCCATCTGAAGAAGTTTCGTACGCCTCAAGAAGAGGCTTCTAATCACGAGGATTAAGCAGCTACGCTGTTTTGGGTCTTGCAGGGCCAGTGCAAGCTTCTTCACTTTTTAGCCCTACAGTCAAAGCCTGCGCACACCAAACTCGAAGGAGACCACTCTTCCCGCCTGTTGTGCAGTAACATGTGAGATGTAAAGTGTTAGTCGCCCACCATTACGTGTTCCTGACCTGTTGACTTTCTTTATTTCTATTTAGGTCTTGTCCTTGAGCATACTTGTATAGTATGTAGGCCCTCCTTGCAACTTTTAAATAATATAGCATCAGTATGGACCCCAAGATCGAGCAGTGTCTAACGCTGATAGACAGCAGCAAGATCAGTGATAAGACAGCCACCTTCATGCCATCTTTCTGAACACAACATCGCGCAGGTGATGCTGAAACGGGGGTATGCAACTTTATGTGAATAGCATAGCAGATGAGGCTTGCACTTAAGTGGGCTTTTTGTTTGTGCACCCTACAGCAGATCTTCTTACTTTTCAATGACACTACACTTACACCCTATCATGTCATGGGGTCAGTCCTTGCACAATATTGAAAAATTGCATTACTTGACATAAAGGCTTTGCCGGAAATAAAAGTAGAGCACAAGAAGACTGAATGCAAGAGACAAGAAGATGGAACAGGCACTTGTCTCTTGTGCTCAGTCTTTCTGCACTGTTCTTTTATTTTAAACAATGTGCCAACTCGCCCATACATGCATTCTGTTAGGCTTTGCTCGGTCTTTCTAGGTGCCACTAGTTTAATTGTAGTATCTATATTCAATTCTTTGGCTTATTTGGGGAGGCAGCATCTGTGGGAGTTTCATGATTAAGCTTGCTTCTGCTAAGTGTGCTCTAGCCAAGTGTCTTGATGTCCTCTCTTGCAATATCCTGTGGCACCATTAGATCAGGTTAGTAGAGGGTGCTCAGATGAAGTATGTTTTGCCATTTTTAATCTATTAATCTGGAGTGTTATGGCCAAGCTTTAAGGGATTAACTTAAGATTGAGGGATTGAGTCCCGGGTTTACTCTTTGCTGTCATACTCTTCATCTTTGCTTCCACAAGTGTTATTTATCTGGGCTTTTCTAATGGAATACTTGGACTTCTTTTGTCTGAATTGCATTCGGTGCCTTTTTTTGAGCACTTATGTGCACAGTTTTAGCTCGTCATTCATGGGAGTAGTCTCTGCCTTGGTGTTCGTATGGCGGTTGTAGCTGACAGGGACATCTAATGACGTAACTATGGCATCGACCGCCTGGTCCAAAACAGTGTGCCACTCATCTCAGAGTTCAGCCTTGTCTTGAAATTAGACATTGTTGATATCAAACTCTATTCTGGCATTCTTGGTCATCCATAGGAAGAGTTGATTCTGTCAGCAAAGTTAGTGTTGTCGGTTGCTCGTGTTTTTAATTGCATTTGCACAATAAGTTGTTAGAAGAAAGCTTTCAGCTAATTACGTTTGTTCATTCTTGTCGGCTTCTTATGGCCGGGCAATACACCTAAATGATCACTGATAAGTGAACATTTATAACACATGAGTTTCAGCAAAGATTCACTTTTTTAATGCTCATATTCTTCGTTCTTATGCAGATGCTGTAAATAACAAAGTGGTGCTGCTAACGGTGCCACATCTGAACAGCTGCGACATATTGTGCATGGACATATAAGACAGAATGGCAAGGAATGAGCGATTAGATCACGTAGTTTGTAAAGATTAGATGCTGTTTGTATAGACGAAATAATGTTCTAACTTCAACTTCAGGAAGGAGCCTTTGTCATGGAATGAAGGTAGCACTTAGTTGAGATTATGATGAGAGCAATAATACATTCACATTTACTCTGTAACTTGCTTATGCTAATCTAGGTAAAACACCCTACTGCTAACTAGTCAGACATGGAGAGGTAGCTGAGTGCTGCTCTTTGCACTGCCGTAAATACATAACTGTCCCACACTGATGTAAATTGAGGGTAGCGTTAACTTTCAACTGTGCAGTTTTAAAATGAGGTCTACACTGCTGCTTACAGGGCGGCCATCTTGTTTGTGGTTGAAGAGGAGACGTACAATGTGTGCGACCAGCGCAACTTGGAGTACGCCATCCGCGAGATGCATGAATCCGTCAAGGTAATGCGACGGAAGTTTTCCGAACTGCACAACTGCACCATCCAGGAGGGAAATCTGATCGTGTGAGTAATGCATATGTAACACCACCTGCAAAGCGGCACTTTCTAAATGCAGAAGCTGTCCCTTGAGCTGTGGCTAGTCTATCAATTTTTATTGCGATAGCAATTATATGGACAGTCTCGACTGATTTTTGCCGTCACTGCCTCTGCTGTCATTCACCATATATGCATACGTATCTGTATATATGAACACTCAAGAAAGAAAAAATAGCCGCCCATGCTCAGTGCCCAGCTCGTCATGATGCACCAATGTGCGCTTATCTCCTATGCATACTTCGCCCTGCATGAGGAGTGGGGGGAATTAAATGCTTGTGCACGCACGCTTATCCTTCTGTGGGGAGAATCATGTATCATCGGCTTTTGCCGGAACAATTTCGTTAGTTGCTAGGGCCACAAAGGTCAATTTGGTTGCTGCACAGGCCCTATTTGCAAAACTAGCATGCTTTTCATACACAACCAGGTATAACAACTGGGACACTTGTTAGTTTGCACGCATCTGTCCCTGTTATGGTTCGTGCGTCGCTTTTGTTTGAACAGCGTGTTACGTGTTGAGCGGTAAACGTTCTTAGTTTGCTCTCATCCTGTGGGTATCGTTTTCATGCATCATTTCTGCATGAGCAGCGCACACTGCACATTTTTATCTGCTTGCTGTTCTCAGCGTTACATTCCAAGTTGTTGCTATCACATTTATTCCTTCGCCCTTGCGGTGAAACTGACTTTTTATACCGAGCAATCCGTTTTCGCTGAAGATATATATATTTTTTTGACACAATGTAAAGGGGCCCTGCAACACATTTCCTAGTACTCTATTAAATGACTTTACTGTTGAAGTTTGTTGCCTCACAAATCAACTTTCAGAAAAAAAATTTTGGGATCTGTCAACGACATGTGGAGCTGCAGCGATTTGCAACATGCTTTAGAGGGGCCGTGAAACAGACGCCCATCTATCTGCTAAGTTCACCAGAAATAAGAAATGGTGGGTGTATTGTGCATGTGTGTTTATGAAAAATGGACTGTGAAAGATCATTTAAATGCAAAATTAGCTCTGAAAGCCGCCAGCTATAAACACCGCCCAGCGGTGATGATTGCCATATTGCCGCGGCGTGTGTGACTTCTTGTGCTGCATGAAGCAGAGTCTTCATGTTCTATCAAAGTTTCAGGCAATGCAAATCATGCAGTTTCAATAACACACTGAACAAGGATGAAATGGCTTGATTACATGCTTAGCTGACCACGGAACAAAAACGCTCGGCGGAGTTCATGTGCTCACACAGCAAGCAGCTTGTCGCGTCACAGCTCTTGAGAGCGTCAGTGTTGTTCTTAGGCCGCCCAAATGCTCATAAAGATACTCAGTTATAAATGAAGCACTCGATCAGATGTGCCAACGTTTTGCCAGCTTGCTTGTATATGCACAACACAAAATATGGTGACATTTGAGGTTATGGCCCTTTTAAGAGCTTTCTCCTTTTGTTTCAGGTAGTGGGCTGAAAGCTACACTAGGGGTCGACGATGGGCCACGTCCGTATAGGACTGAACGCCATGACCTTTGCCACTTTTTTTTGTTGTTTCCTTGAACATGCAGTTCTCTTTCAGTGTAATCAAGTGCACACTGGTGCAGAGTAGTAGTGCAGGCACATTGCATCACACTGCTACAGTCACGTTAATTACGTAGCTCAGAATGATAAAATCAGCCTGTAGATGTGGTCAGATGTCTTCAGTTATGCGACACAGTTCATTTTGGGTGTACGACATTAGTAGTTGAAAGAAGAGGAAGTGATAAACAGTTGGCTTTGAAGTATAATTGCAAATTTTTAGCAATGGCACAGCCAGGAGATGGTGAACTTGGCCCATGCACCCCCCCCCCCTCAATTTTTTTTTTCTTTAGGGTCATTCCACGCCAAACAACCCAGCCATTTCGGGGACCATCTCAAATGTTTTCGAAAAAAAATTATGCTGATTTACTGCATTTAAAATGATGAACTGCTTGAATATTTCAGACAGAAAAAAATTTTTCACCATGTGGCTGGCTTCTGAACTTCGTGGATTGTCAATTAGATGTTGTTTTGTGGAAAAATTTATTTTAAATCTTATTCGCGCTTATTTTTCCATTTGGTCATATGGCAGCTGCCGCCTTGAAATTCCCCATTGCCGTCAATGGAACAGTTCAAAAATTATTTTTTAGTCCTTAAAACGAAAAATGTAATGATGAGATTTGCTATATGAAAAGAACTGTTTATTTGCTTTCGGTTTAAGTATAAAAGTGATTTTTAATGGGACTACCACATGGTGTAAATCACATTTCAATATGAACAAAAACGACGATATTGTTTAATTTGTGAATTTTCTCGTAATGTATAGCAGCTAAAAAATTTTTTGTCAAAGTATACCTTCTGTGGAGTAAGTATTTACTACTCAGATATTCATACAAAGTCCAGTATTGCAATAGCAAAAGCACAAACATAACACAATTTGGCTCAATTATTGGAGGTGTGTGTGCCAGAAAATTTGCACTAATATTACTCAGCTTCAAACACCTTACACAAGAACCTTTACTCAACATGTAGACCAAATTTGGTATAGAAAGAAGGAGCGGTACTTTTAAAGTAAATTTTCCCACAGACGACACCCAAACGACACTTTGGAAAGTTCAAAAGGCAGCCACGTGACCGAAAACTTTTTCTTTGGAAATATTTCGTCGTTTCACTGTTTTCAATGCAGTAAATCAGCACATTTTTTGTTTTTCAAATACACTTGAGATGGTCGCCAAAATAGCTCGGACGGTTGGCATGGAATAACCTTATAGTATACGAAGCACAAAATGACACCCGACCGAAACAAGCTGAATGTGCTTACATCCTAAGTAAACATGTCTGACAGGAATCTGCCTGGCCAGGTAAAATTGTACGAGTGAACACACTCTTCAGCCGCATTTACTCTTAAGGTTTTCATTTTGAAAATTGGCCCTACGTTTTTGGATGGTCACCTCCTGAAGAAGAAACCGAACGGGTCTCGAAACATTGGGCCAGTTTTTACAATAAAGAACTAAAAGCCAAACTGGGCTGGGGAGTCTGCTTATTCTTGAATTTACATTCGTGCTGTGGTCTTATTGGTGAGAATATCTGATTTGGGTCTTGTCCCATTCCAATGCCTTTGTATTCCAGCACATACGCAGCATTCAGAACTGCTGTGTTGCTGTGATGTGCCTGCGAATACCTGGTAACTCTTCAAGAGCACATCTGAGTTAGCTCAGTACCTGTTAGATAATATTAAATTTTTGCACATTCATTTTTGAGCATTGTGCTTTACAGAGAAGTAATGCCAAATCATTGAAAAGTTTGTGCAGCATGCATGCCCATTAAATGAAGTTTTTCTGCAGTGATGGTGTGGAAATTGCTGTGGTCTACTACCGGACGGCCTATGCTCCACAGCAAATGGATGCCAAGGTAGGCTAAATGTTGACAGTTGGCAGAAGTTGCTACATTCTTGTAATGTGCAAAAGTTCCAACATCGTAAAGGATGTATACATAGATTCTTTTCATGGGTGAAGACCGTGAAGCTAATATTCAGACTACAGTGGTTCCATGCTAGAAAACACGGACATATGGGCACAGTATCCAGTAAGCGCTGAAATTTAACAGGCATATAAGACTCATTATAACGAAACCATGTGAGGTTGCTTAGAACATGCAAACTCTTTGGCCCCTGACACCTTGTTTTTACTTGCACTGCACATCATTGTGGTATTCAACAGTATCATGATAAGCATAAGCAACATACTTCTTTCACAATTTGAAACCACCAGCATGAAATCATGACAGTGCATGAAAAGAAACAACTAGTAGCCTGCAGATGCTGCGCCAAAAAGCTGAGCTTTTCAATATTTGGAATCTCCCTCGCACATATTCAATACATTTTCACCATTAATGTGGCAACTGGGCTGCTAGGCATAATGTTGTAAACACTCTATGGTGAGGTCGCCCTTGGCACGTAGCTTCTAAGATTGGATGGTACATATAAAATGGGAATGAGTCATTAGTAAGTTTGGGGCTCTAAACAAACAAAAAAAAAAGCAAGTAAAACGCTTTGCCTATTGGCACCCTTTTTCAGCTTTTGAGAAACCGTGTGTACGTATGATACAAGGTCAGGCTTTTTCCCCCACTGCGCCCACATCTGCTGTTTTCTGCTAGGCGCTGTCCTTTCAGTTTTCATAACATACTGCTACGGGGAGGCTACAAAAGGCCAATGCAGCAATATTGCAACGTAATGTACACAAGATCTCTCATAACCTGAAAAACATTGCCGATAGGGCATGGTGTTCTCTTGTTTTTTGTGAAGCCAAGCAAAATCACACAACTTTGCCCTCGCTTAAAAAAGTGGGAAGCAAGAAGGAAGGATGCTCAAAGAAGCATACCTCACCCTTTGTGCAGAGTGTGCAAGCATTGGTGTACGACACTCGCCAGTCTTGTGAAAAGTCGTACATGGGGCAAACAGGCAGCTGAGGGACACTAAAGGCAAATATCATGTCAACTTTGATTGTTGAAATATCGGTACAGAAACTTTTAGTGCTAGTTTTGTGCCTAGAAAGGGCTTATTTTGAAATAAAATTACGCTTTTATGGCCCGCATTGCGATAGTGCACTTCATATCATCTATGTCTGAAAGACCGCTTTCAGGTGGTCACTGTTACTGTGCCCAACAATGCTTCGCCTTTACTATGCAGCCGCCAACACCAGTAGCTGCAGAGCGAAAGTTGTGGGAGCCACTGTAGCAACAACGGTCATTAAACAATTTTTTGCAATCTCGTAGGTCATGATTCTGTTTGCTTATTTTAACTGGGCCCCACTAGATGGCACCACCTATCCAGCCTGACCAGCAAAAAACTGAACTTCTGAACCACTTGATTCATTCCTCATAGTACGTAATACTAGGTGGTTCTTTTTTCTATAAATCAAACAGAAACAGTCAAGCAGCATTTCATTTTGTCTCTTGATGCACGAAAAGTTCTTTTTTTGTTTAATTACTAGTGTTTAATTATTGTAGTAAAACACTGTCACATCATCAGGATTATTTCATAAGTGTCTCACTCATGGTGCACATCGTGTGATACATTTAGCTTAATTTTTTAGCAAGTAAGCCACTGATGTTGGTAATATTGCCATTTTAGATGTTGTCATAGATTGACACATTCGTCTGCCTGTATAAGTGGGAGATAAGGCATAAATTTTTTTTGCTTTTAGTGTCCCTCTAATTACGGGCTAAGGAAGCATGTGAAAAATCTAAAAAAAGTAGACACTGCCCATTTTTCATTCCACTGCCGACAATGGATATGTGAGGCGATATTTCGTGAGGCCAAGATTCTAGACAGAAGCCAGAACAAATCAGCCAACGAACTTCAGGAGTCGCACCATATAAAGACAAAAGGAAGCAATTCGGTTATCGACATGTCCGCATGTCTGTATAAGTGGGAGATAAGGCATTTTAATATTGCATGTTTTTAGCTTGATAAACTGTGTTGTCTCGATATGTGCTCGCTACATCTGCACATAATTGTGCTATATACTTCATTGCAACATTTGCAATAAACCACATGTTAGTAGCACCTGTCCTGTCTTATCTCATGAGCTTGTCTTTCTATGCACGAAAATCAAAATCTTATGTACTCACTGACTTGCCCAACAACAAGTTTTGTACGCTGAAACTAAACTTCTTGTACATTGAAATTTTGCCATTTCCAGTGGCAAAGGCAGGTAGGGCACCATACAATTCCTCTTTTAAATGCCAGCATGATGCCTACGCTCACCCCACGTCAGAGGCAGCCCATCATGGAGGTAGTGGCTTTGCGGTGCAGTTTGATTCAACCTTTGAGATATGGAGCCATACCTCGTGTGGCACTACCACCGGCATCGTGTTGTGGCTACATCAGCCTCATATCGAAGATTTATCTCACACAGTGACAGGACACAATAATGTCTTTATGAATGAGTGCAAAGTGTAATGTTGTGCAGCAGTGGGGTGTGACTAGTAGAGTTTCCATCCGTCTGCTCTTCCAGTAGACATTTTATGCCGACACGTACTTTGAACTACAAAAGAGCCATCGATTTTTTTTAGTGGCTGTAACCTATTGTGCTTCGTTGTCGTCAGTACTGTGGGTGCAAAAAGTTTCCCTGCTTGTTCACAGCAGCATCCAAGACACTGCTCTTATCCATACCAAAAAGCTAGCAACTCTGTGTCAAAATGCAAGTTTGAAGTTTTTGAACAGGTGGTTTGGTGGGGGGCTGCTGGAGCATGACCGTATTCTCACATACGCTGCCAAGCGTGCAGGTTTTTGCTAGCAGAAGTCTGGATGCTTTCAGAAGCTTGTAGCATATGTGACGAAATTCTGCAAGCAGTCTCTTCTGGTGAAATGCAAAATAGTCATGCCTTTGGCCTTGCTTTGGAGGCGCAAAAAAATAAAATAAAAAGAGGATGACCTCAGTTTTGGTCTGGCAGTCCCATGCCGCCGATTTCCCACGGAATGGGTGCCCTCCCAAGCGACTATAACTTTGTTTTGCCGAGCACTAGGACGGCAATGCGTTTGTACCTATTTAATCAGTAGGTACCTGGCGGCAGCAATTCTCGGCCTCGCACAGTAGGGGCAGATGCTCAACTATTTCACCATGGCTTTGGTGTGTTAAGGTACGCCCAGGGACCTTCGCAGAACCTTATGGGGCTACCTTTCGAGATGAGTGCCTCGAAACAGCCGAGTGCCAGGTCGGTGTACTCCTCTACCTATTCGGAAAAACCGGTAGGTTCCCGGTCGGCTCTGGGAATCGAACTCGGCACGTCCAGCATTGGAAGCGGACGCTCTAACCATGTAGCCATCGCTGCGGTTTTTCGAGGTCATGATACTGGGGGGTCAAACGCAGACACCAGTCAGCACGTAGCTGGCAGCAACTTCCACCATTTTAATGGCAATGCCACACTGCAGCCAAAGCAGGGTGCCATCCATTTGGAATGTGTGAAGTCTTTGTTGCTACTGTGTGCCCTGCAAGTTACATATTCTTATGTTTGTTTGCCTTAGCTTTGACCATAGAACCGTTGGCAGCAAATCATTCGTGGCCATTTCGAAACCGTTTCGAGTTCTGTTTTCAAGTTCTTCGTAAAACTAGCATGAGTTGCTGCATTCTTTGTATAAGTGATTTCTCAAAGCAATTATTTCTACCTCAATCTCAGCGGCCATAGATTATGACTATGCTGGTTCTTTTTGATATCAATAGCTGACACCACAAGTAGAACAAAAAAAGAAAGAAAGAAATCCTTCAGTGGCACTGTGCTTCTTATACCGAAGTAGGTGAGGCATATGTCTCTTAGATTGTTAAAAGCAGGAATTTTATGACAAATGTATACGTCAAGCAACAGATTTAAAAGTGTGGCTGCACTCCTGGGGCAGCATGGGATAAGGCTAGGCCCCACTGATCATGCTTTTAAGTGAACTGCCTCCAGGCTTTTTTTTGTTAGCATTTCATCAGCAACATAGCATAGTGAATACTGCATATGATGCTATTGCATTGAAAGCTAATCTACTTTCACTTTGTTATATGTCTGCTGCACATCTAGTATGTGCTCCATAACTGGCTTTCACATATTGAAGTGCATTAAATGGAGAACTTGTGCAGGTTCTAAGAGATGTTTAACATGGTGAAGGCAACTTTACGTTTGGTAGTGGTTGTCACTTTGCAACGTTTTGTAGTGGTTGTGTTGAACCAAACTTTTTGTCAAAGCATTGGCCTTTTAAATTAAAAGAACCATATTCGTTAAAGCTTATTCCCAATGCCTTTTTTATTTACGTACATAGAATTGTTTTGGCTTGTGCAACATCTTTTGAATAAATGTACAATCAAAATGCAGGTGTGGTGTGCCCTGTACACATGGACGCATGAGTCACATCGGTGCAGCATGCATGCATGACATTATAAATAAAGATGTACCGTATTTACTTGCATAATGAACCTACATTTTTTTCAAAAAAGTTGATGCCAATTAGGGGAAGGGTTCATTATGCTGGGGAAAAAAAAGTCATGGGTTATAACAGCAAAAATTTTCTATGAGGGTAATTAAAAACTCAGCTGTTCAACTGCTACTGGCTTTCAATTCAGTGCATAACTATGGAGCCCCCTATTCGAGAACTTTCCCCTGCACAAAAGAAAGTTGTCCTTGATTTGGCCCGCGAAACATGCGACATACTTTTTGCAAGCAGAGTGCGATTTTGCCCCCTGCGAGCATGCAGTCGATGCTCGACGTGTCCTGGCACTATGCGGGGCGACTGTGCTGATAGCGCATGTACAGGCCAAAGTGCATGGATCGACCTGAAAGTGTCGTCCAGCCACCCGGTTCCCATGCTCCAGCGCATGCATCACCAACTTTAAGTTCAAAACTGGCCATGTTGCTTGCGTGCCGGATGGTCC